TATGCATCGTGCACGCCGGACGGCCCGTCTGCGCAAGGCTGGGGCTAGCGTGGGGCGTCTTGTCCGCTCAGGTCTTCAGCCGGTTGTGATGTATGGGTCTGGAGTTACAGGGATGAGCACGGTGCACATCCAGCAAATACGTTCTGCTTATCGCGTAGCTATATGCTCGCGGTCTCACCGCTGTGTTACCATGGACCTGGCCATGGAGAAAATCGTCAACCCAGCGGTTCCTGCCCATACCGAGGTCGTCTTAGCTTATCTTGCTTATCGGTGGGATTATTTGGCGCCGCAGCACCTCGTGGACGAGGCTTTCCAATGGGCCATTGACAATGTTCGAATCGGCACCTGCTGGGACAGTCTCCATGGCCCGGCGTCGACTACAGTGGCGACGCTCTTACGTTTGGGGTGGAGTTTCCAAACCACCACTGTCTGGATCAATCCGCAGGGCTTGCACATTGATATTTCTCTTGTTTCGCCCCGCGATGTCGAGAAGATGGTTGCTTGGGACGCGGACGCATGGGGCTGGCAGCCAACGGCTCCTCATCACCTTGTGCTCTCCCACCTTGCTGGTCCACCGTACTTACCTCCGCTTCGCACTCTAGTCAATATGACTACTCTGGCGTGGGGGAGACCTCAGGCGGTGGCACTCCGATCCGTCATCGCTGGGGCAGTGCATTTGGCCATCACGTGTTCCTTCTGTGGGGCGGCTCATGCGGATGAAGTTTCTGCTGTTCGTCACCTTCTCTGGGATTGTGACGGCACGCTGTCCGATCGACAGGCGTACGGTCTGCCAGATCACGTCGAGAGCGTTCGTGCTCGCTTCCCCGATGACCCGCTGTGGTACTCAGCCCTGGTTCCTGATCCAGAGCGGCTGCTGCCACATCCAGCTATGGAGTTGGGCATTCTATGGTTCTTCTTCGGCGATCCTCAGGCTGCGCCTCTACTTATGTCTCCTGTCTTTGGCGACGGTTCAGGTCTCTATGGCCCTTCACCGAGAGCATTGCGCTGCGGCTTCTCTGCGGTAGCTGTGGGGCCATCTGGCGAGGCGCGCGTGGCCGCCTACGGTGCTTACCCCGGTGCTCATCAATGTGTGCCTGGTGCTGAAACTCTGGCTTTGCTAGTTTTCCTATTGCATGCCTTGCCGGATTCAAGTGGTATATATGTATATTACACCGATTGCCAGTGGGTGGTGGATTCTTGGCATGCCCCATCTTCTCAAGTTGTCTCTGGTTGGAGTCCCCACTCGGGCATTTGGGCTCGCATTCACGCGAAAGCTGCCGACATTGGTTACGACAGCATTCAAATCTACAAGGTGAAGGCGCACCTCACTGTCTCTTCTCCTGCCCAGGCCGCCTGGCTGACAATGGGGAATGATCATGCTGACAGGTTTGCTAAGCTTGGTGCTCGGCGTCATCCTGTTGATGGAGCTGCCATGGAAAGTCTGAGTAGGTCGCGTATTGTAGTAGAGCACATTGGCAAATACATAGGTTTTGTAATGTCTCGTATATTGCCGCGCCTCAATGAGTTTCCTCGCCCTCCCCGGGCCGTCCTTCCTCCATGTCTACACCCCCCAGCGGCTGTCGTGATGCCGCCTACGGGAGTCCCACATGAGTTAGCATGGGACTCTTCTGTCCAACGCTTTCGGTGCATAGCCTGTTGGGCCTCCAGTCATTGCAAATTCGAGCTGTATAGGTCCGCTTGTCCTGCCCCTCATGGATTCGGCCATGTGGTCATGCGTACTGGTAGGTACGTATTCTGTAAATTATGCGGTTCGTATTCGTCCACGAATGTTGGACACCTTCACAAATTGTGTAACAGGCGTCCAGAATCGAGCACCGCCAAGTACAGGCTTGGTTATTTGATGCAGGGACTGGACCCCAAGAGTAGACAGTCCACTGGTCCTGTGTTGCCAGCAGTGACGCGGCTATACGACGAGCTGGGGGACCCGTCGGTGGTGCCTCCTAGTCTGGCCTTGGTCCCCCATCTCGTCCCCTAGTGCTTGGCTTCTGCTGGGGAGTTGCGGCAAGCGCCACTCAGCAGTGCAATCTTGCAGCGGAGCGTTCGGCTCCCTCTTAGGTGTCGATTTTTTCGTCGGCCGTTTTCGTTGCCCACCGTACTCCCCAGTATTGGGGCCTGTCCGGGGTGAGCGACTCGTGCAAAGCGCGGTCGCCTCTTCTTCTTGTTTCGCTGTTTCTCTTTTCTTGGACCTGCCTCTTCGGAGGCAGGCCACCGTCCTAGTCCTAGTCCTCCTCCTCCTCCTCATATCACCATCATCATCATCATCATCATCATCACCACCACCACCACCACCACCATCATCATCATCATCATCATCATCATCACCATCATCACCATCATCATCATCATCATCATCATCATCATCAGCATCAGCATCATCATCATCAGCATCATCATCATCAGCATCATCATCAGCATCATCATCATCATCATCCTCTTCCTCCTCCTCATCATCATCACCATCACCATCACCATCATCATCAGCATCATCATCAGCATCAGCATCATCATCACCACCACCACCACCACTTTACCACCACCACCACCATCAGCATCATCATCATCACCATAATCATCACCATCATCATCATCATCATCATCATCATCACCATCATCATCACCATGATCAGAATCAGAATCAGCATCATCAGCATCATCATCGTCATCATCATCATCCACAGCATCCGCAGCATCAGCGGAATCGTCATCCTCATCCTCATCCTCATCATCATGATCATCATCATCATCAGAATCATCATCATCATCATCAGCAGCATCACCACCACCACCACAGCCATCATCATCATCAGCAGCATCATCATCATCGTCGCCATTATCAGCATCAGCAGAATCTTCATCCTCATCCTCATCCTCATCATCATCATTATCGTCAGCAACAGCATCATCATCATCATCATCATCAGCATCAAAATCAGCATCAGCATCATCATCAGCATCAGCATCAGCAGCATCATCATCAGCGTCATCATCATCAGCAGCAGCGTCATCATCATCATCGTCATCGTCATCGCAATCATCCACATCGTCATCACCATCACCACCATTAGATTCATCATAATCGTCATAATCATCATCAATAGCATCATCACCAGCATCATCATCATCAGCATCAGCATCAGCATCAGCATCCTCATAATCAGCAGCATCATCATTATCATCATCGTCATCATCATCCATCCTCATCCTCATCCTGATCCTCATCCTCATCATCGTGTTTATCATCAGCGGCGTCATCATCAGCATCATCCGCATCATCAGCATTATCATCCAAATAATAAACACCATCAAGATTATCATCATCATCCCCATCATCGTCATCGTCATCATCAGCATCATGATTATCATCCTCGGCATCAGCATAATCACCATCATAACCATCACCATTAACATAATCAACAATGCCAATATCATCATCAATCGTAACCGTCGTGTTCATCGCAACCGCCATCATCATCATCATCATGATCACCATCATCATCATCATCAGCAGCATCATCATCATCAGCATCATCATCGTCATCATCATCATGAGCATCAGCATCAGCATCAACATCATCATCAGCAGCAGCATCAGCAGCAGCAACACCACCAGCAACAACAACAACAACAACATCATCATCATCATCATCATCATCATCATCATCATCATCATCATCATCATCCTTCCCATCATCGTCGCCATCGGCATCGTCACCGTCAGCATCAGCATCAGCATCAGCACTGGAACAAACGTCGTGCTTCTCTCTTTCGCGGCAGCTGTGAGCCCATGTATTGTTACTCCTCCCTCCGCCGCCCCATCCTTCCTCATCGTCCAAATCATCATCTTCCTCCTCCTGATCAACCGATCGCTCATCCACAACCTCCACATCCAATGTGCGCAGCTCTCGTTATTTTGAGTGCGCGTAACACGAAGGGGCCAGTTTGGGTCATGACACCCGTCGGCTGATAGAGAAAAAGCAGCGCAGTGGGAAATAATGGATGGGACAGGTAGGACGTCAGATATGGCGCGTGCGCACCTAACTTGACCTATGACTTCTCCTCTCTCATCCTCTTACAGTCGACCGTATCATAAGGACGCACGATAAGGATGCAAGGGCCCTGGAAGGCCATGTCGACACTCTGCGGACGGGACGCGGCCAGCGGGAGCGGCCAATGATGGGCCGAAGGGGAAGGATGCAAGGGGAACCTTGGAAAGTTGCTCATCCTTACTATGCGGGTTGATTGTATTGTCCCCCACCCCCCTCCCCCTCCTTCTCCCGCTCCCTCTTCACAAGACTGAGCGCCCACGAGGTCGAGCGTCGTGGCCTCCAGCTGATGGTCCTCCTCCGTTCTCCTCCTGGCACGTAGCACGAGCGGACCTGCTCATCTCCTCGCACCGCCAGCCCTCGCTGGCCCACTACCCGCCTCGCTGAAGTGCAGCGCGAACCTGGGGGATCGCCGCCTTGACTGCAAGCTGGGGGATCGGTGCTGGGATCTTTGCCTGCTCCGTTCTCCTCCTCCTGCTCCTCCTCCTCCACCTCCTCCTCCTCGCTGGCTACCCTCTGAGCGCCTCTTGACTGGAGCCTCGCGGGCGGGCGCGGAACTCCCCCTGGCTCAAGGACTTCCGCGTTGCCGCTGGAGCGCCGATTCGAGCGGGGCTGCACGCCCGACTTTGTGGATTCGAGGCAGGAGGGGATGTAAGAAGCTAGAAAAGCACGGATGGATTCACACACCCACACACACGCACACACGGAACAGGCGGAGGCACTTGCTCGATGCACGTTCGGAGCGCTGGCCCACTCGGCCGTACGAGGGCCCTCCCGCTGGAAAGACATGCGGCCACACGTGCATCCAGCTCTCGGCCAGGCCGCCGCATCAACTGCATCCAGCTCCCTGGCACAAGCAGACAGTTTCACCTAAGCTTCGCCATGGGCTGGAGCCCTCCAGCTAGACTGCACCTGAACCGCACCGGCGCGGAACCCCACGTGGAAAGTCGTCTCCGAGCCGCGCATGGCAGCGTCAAAGTGTGCAAGCCGTCTCGGGCCGAAACAGTCGAGGTCCCACCTGCCCCCGCAGAATCGGCGGCGAACGAAGGGGGGGAAGTGAAAAGGAAGAGGCATTCTCAGAAGGCGGCGGCGCTTCTCAGAAGCATTCTAGCCTTCTGAGGAAAGGTTCTGTGTCTTCGGGGGAGACTCAGAAAACTGTTCACAGGCCCGAGGCCTTCCGAGCCTTCTGAGAAGGCTCGCCCCCGGACGGCTGGTCAGCAGGGGGATCCGAACGTCACGACGGGTGGCCGTGCATACCCTGTCCAGCGCTTGAGCCGCCAGCTCTCTTCGAGAAAGAACTTCGCCGTTGACTCACCCTCAAGGAGAAAAACACGTCAACTCCCTCTCTCTCTCGACGAGCCCTGCCCGAATTGACAAACGCTCCCCCTGGGCGCGCCGCCGACAGAATAGAGGAAACAAAAAAAACAAGAAGAAACGTAAACAGAAACTTTCGACGCTCCGCGCAGACTTCTGGGACCTGCGCCAGGCCCCCCCTCCCCGGCGCGCCGCCCGGGGGCCCCAGCGCAGCTCCCAGAGTTCCGCGCGGAGCGTCGAAAGTTTATGTTCATGTTTCTTCTTGTTTTTGTTGTTTCCTCCATGCTGTCGGCGGCGCGCCGAGGGGGGGGAGCGTTTGTCAAGTCGGGCAGGGCTCGTCAAGAGAGATAGGGCGGCGAGATCTATACATATCCACTGCTCCCTGGCCAGGCCCAGCCTGAACCCAGCAGCGGTGCATACGCCACGCCCTCCTGGCTTGGCCAGGAGGGCGTATACACAGCTCGTGAGCTCAGGATGGGCCTGGCCGGGGAGCAGTGGATATGTATAGACCTCGCCGCCCGAGAGAGAGAGAGAGGTGACGTGTGTTTTTTTCTCACGGAGCAGCGGAAGCCTACAGCTGCTCGCGTGCGTTCCGCCCTCCTTCGGCCCGAGGCCCCGCCCGCCGGCGGCGGGCGCCGAGCGCGCGGCGGGCCGGGGAGGCTCACAATTGAGCAGGGCCCGACCGCCCCGGCACTCCCTGTAGTCCTACCACGAAATGTTCTTAGAACCCAAAAGCGCTCTATCGGGAATGGACAGACCTCCCTTTAGTAAAACGTGGTTTAGTGAAAACGACCTCGGGCCCAAACCTAGCGGGCGCAAGCCTGGAAAGTAACGGCCACGGCGCCCTCTCGAGAACCGAAAACGGACAATTCACTAATCGACGGGTCACTGTTGGGGGTTCTGTCCACCCCCGACTCTAAGAACAAAAACAGTGTTCTCAGAAACCCCATGTTTTGTCAAACCAAGACAGTCTCCGCCAGAAATGCTCTGAGAGCATGTCGTGGAAGCCACAAAAAGGGTCTTAGAACATTGCTTGGTAGGGCTATAGTTATGTCGGGCGTGTCCCCCTACAGGGGGATTTTCGACGAAAAATAAAGAAATACCCCAAGATAATCCAAAAATGGTCCAAACATAGTCCGGGGACTATTTTGGGGGTATTTGTAGGCCTTTGGGGCGTATTTTGGTTTTTTTGTGTTTCGTCGAAGATCCCCCTGTAGGGGGACAGGCCCGACTTAGGGCTATAGGCGAGCCAGGACGCTTCGCCGCTGCTTGACTCACAGGCACTGGAAAGCGCCGAGCGCGCGGCGGGCCGGGGAGGCTCACGGGTCGGGCGAAAGGGGGAGATAGCAAAAGGGGGGGTTGAGAATCAGCTCGCGCAATTAGCTGATTTTCCCGGCGCCTCCCGGCGCCGGAGGCGCCGATGTCTCGAGGAATGGGCCCCCCGGTGGGGCCGAAACCAGCTGCATGCAGCAACTCTCGTGACCCCCCCTTTCGCAATGCCCCCCTCTCGTCCGGCCCGAGGCTCACAGGCACTGGAAGGCGCCGGGGGAGCCCGCGCACCACAGCGGGAGGAGCGCCCGCCGGCACAGGCCGGGCCAGCTGGCCAGCAGCAGCGCCGCCAGGGAGCCGGCGGCCGCGCCTCGCGGGGGAGGGGGCGGGGCCGCAGACATCGGAGGCCTCTTGGGAGGAGAAGGAGGAGGAGGAGGAGGAGGAGGAGGAGGAGGAGGAGGAGTAGAAGGAGGAGGAGAAGGAGGAGGGGGAGGAGGAGGAGGAGGAGGGGGGAGGAGGAGGAGGAGGAGGAGGAGGAGGAGGAGGAGGAGGAGGAGGGAGGAGGAGGAGGAGGAGGAGGGGGAGGGGGAGGAGGAGGAGGCTCGCTGAGATCCAGCGGTTCTGGAGGAGGCGCCGGTCGCCGCGGCCGTGGAAGAGCGCACCAGAAAGCCGTGAGGGCCTTCCAGAACTGGACGAGCTCGTTCCACTATTCGCAGAGTGACTACTCGCACATGGCGTGGAATCCGCCGCGGGGGGCTCTCCGATACATGACACAGGGGAAGACACGCTGTTTCCTGACGTTTGCGACTAGGCTCTTTTTGCGAGTAATGGAACGCGCTCGATGAATAGATGG